TTTGCGCCACACCCCGCCGTGCGCGAATGCCGAGAAGCTTAGTGCGAGGACCCGTCCATCGCCGCTTGCGGCTTTAATTGTAATTGCATCTTGTAAAACAATCATGTGAATATGAAGTTCATGTAAATGCATGGCTATTGCATTACATATTAGCTGTGAGCCTGACTTACGGATGTAGAATAGTTAGGAAGTGCAGAATATGTGACATGAATGTTGCCATAAAGTGTAGAGACGGTTTGTCAGGAAAGCAGGAAGTGAAAGAAAACTTTATTTGGAAGGCGGAGAGGAAATAGTTTGAGGTGGGGAGCTTCAGGGTGAAGCGTTTGGAGGACTGGGAGGAGTGGGGCTGGGCCTTCCTGCCGGGGCTGCTTGTGTTTATGAAGAGTGTGGGAGCAAAGTTTTTTAGGGAAGTTCAGCAGGGATCTCCACAACAACACTGTGCAGCTCCACCTGCTGGGCAAAACAAACTTCCCCTGCATGATGTGAGCACGAGGCATCGTCCTGTAACTGGAATTTAAAGCGTTCGACTCAGACTCATCACATTCTGAGTGCAGGGCATCGCTGAGAGTTTTATATTGGTTTAGTTTTTTATACATCACTCCATGCTGTACTAAAGCTCCAACTTGTGTCAACAAATCCCTCAAAGAGACCAAAACTAACAGTAAATCAGATATTGTTTTAGCCAAAGCTACAGACACTGTGGCTGTGTAGTCAAGCATCATTAAAACCATCATAACTTTATCAAATTCTAATCAAAATTCAAAGATATATGAGTTTTAGGAGAGTGTTTATGAATGGTTAATATTATGAAACATTGCAGCTGAAAAATAGTGTAAAACATTCAGTATGAACATCGTATAGCTTCACTAGAAAACTGGTTCAAGATGAAGGAGAAGAAAGTAGAAAACCGTAGAAAATAGAAACAGAAACTAGATTTTTAGGAGTTAAGACACATTACTTAACCTCGTGTTGCGCTTTCCTTTATTCCTCATTATCATGTGTAATGTTGCTTCACCACGTCAGGATTATTGCCAGTATTACTGCTTACTTTTTTCCTCTAGTACTATTTTCGCCTTTGTATTTTATGTCTTATCTCTGAACTGAATGTGTTATAATCTGCTGCTGAAAACACTTCCCAACAAATGGCATTACTGCCTCCTGTATGAAAAATGTTCTTATTCTTAGAAATGAGATAAAGAATGAGCTTGGGGCTGAGGGCCACAGACTATATCGAAATGGGAAAATAAAGGGAGGTTGTTTAAAACATGGTCGGTTTTCATCTCGCATATAACAGCAAAAAAAAAAAAAAAGTGGTATAACACCAGCCTTAAATGTTGACATTGTTCTGTTGCTGTATGCTGAAGGTGTGAGATTGAAGCTACACTTGAGAGACTTAAGAAGCTGGAGAGAGACCTGAGCACTAAAGAGCAGGAGCTGAAGGAGCGAGAGCGGCGTCTAAAGATGTGGGAGCGCAAACTCATCGAGCAGTCCAACAGCCCGGTGAGTTCCTCATTATCCCCTCTTCACTTTGGTCCGTCCTCACCTTCAGGACAGCCGTCGTCGAGTGGCGGCGGCGGCGGCGGCACGTCGGCTCGTTCACATCTGTATTTCCTGGTTTTTCTCACTCGCCTTGAGAGAGGGACAGAATCCCCCTTCACCTTTTGTGGGGTGAAGTGGAAATGGGAACGCAGTGAAATGAAAATAAAATGGGAGGGAAAAGGGGAGCACATTATGAAACATTATGGGCAGTAGGCACTGGTGGCAGAACTGCATTTACATGTATAGCGGTGTCGTGTGAACGGCTGCTGAATGAGAACATTTGCATCATGATGATGAAGAATTTACATTGGGATGTAAACATCCCGTCTCTGACATGCAGTTTGCAGCGGTACTGTTGCCTTGTGTTTGTCTGCATTGCGTTATTTTTGCAAACATAGTTTAGAGCTGAAACTAATACTTGATTTTTTTATTACTGATTGATCTGTTTATTGTTTCCTTAAATAATGTTTTTGTCTGGAACATGTCAGAAAGCATTGGAAAATGTACGCTAATATATCTGCCAGCCCTACGGGTGACAGTTTAGTTATTATCTGTCCAAAACCACATCATACATGACAAAGAAAAGCATTCAATCCTTATTACGTCCAGCTTTTATTTTATTTTATTTTTTATTTTTGCATGAATTTGAATGATTACCAAAATATTTTTTTTCCAACAATCGACAAATCATTTGATTTCTGTTCATTTTCTGTGAGGATTGATACACAGTTGAAATAACCCCTCAGTCATGTACAGTCAGTGTAGATACTGTTGAAGACTCCATGCACACACACTAATAACACACTTTCTGTATTTGGTATTTGAAATACTCGATGAAATCCTTAAATCATTCCTGTTCCTTTTCTATACCTATTCTATTCCAGTTCCTGCACTGACTCTGCTGTCAACTACCCTTAAATGTCTTTTTTCTTTTTAAAAAAATCAGCTTATCTAGAGTTGAAATTGTCCACTTTTCTTATCTACACTTTATTTGTGCTTTGAAACTGATAGTTTCCTTCCTTTTCTCCTCTGTCCTCTTTTCCTTCACCCCTCTGTCTCCTGCTCTCGCACTTGTTTCTGCCTCTCAGCTCTTCTTACCTGTGGCAAAAAAGATAAGCGCCAAGTCGTTCTATCAGTCTAAGACGGAGGAATCAAACAGTTCGCAGATGTCGTGTCAGATCACAACCTCCGGTAACGAGGAGGTGAATCTGCAGTCGGTGATGAAAGGCTTTGAGGACGTGTTTTCTTTGGACTTTGTTCGACCTGTCCTGCACTCTGGCATGCAGGTCAACATGTGCGCCAAGCAGAACTCTTCCAGGTCGAGCTGTGTCAGAGAAGGACACAAAATCAACATGGCTGTGGAAAGGGGACACTTTCCTTGGTCTGATGACAGTGAATGAACCCCTCCCATGTCTGGTGTTGCAGCAGCTGCGTCCATCACATACTGTGATCTCACTTAATGCATTCTTGGTGTTGTGGAAGCACTGTATGAATTGCTAGTTAAGCCATGTTGTTAATTATTGACCATGAGTTTATTAATCATCACCGTGTCAAATTATAACACTATATTTCTGCTGCTTTGTAAGCTGTATTCACGATGTACATTCAGTAATAGCACCATGCAGCACAGGAACATAGTTACAATTATAGAATATATTTGAAACCCTCCACCTGTGGATATTATGGATGTCATTTACTGTATGCCTAATGTTCTGGATGTATAGTGCCATGCTGTGAAGAAAGAGCCATGTGAGCCAGTTGCTTAGAGAAGGCCAGGCTTTTATGATGAAGTGACATTTTGCTGACATTAAGATTGGCCAATTTGTTCTGGATGTGGTGGAGTGCAGTTGTTGAGACGCAGTCTCTTACCAGGATGAGAAAGTACATGTTTTTTCCTCTGACTGACCCAGGTTCAAAACAGTAGGAGAGGGACTTTGCTGTGTGACTGTCAGCTTCATTCTCTCATTTTACATTTTACTTTTCAAAACAGGCTTCTACCCAAGGCCTAAAAATATTTAATTTTCCACCAATGAATTTTCTGTATAGATTATAATAGAATAATTTCCTGCTTTTGACACGTTTTACATACAGTATCACACCATATGGTGCGACTGAATATCAGCCTCAGGACCTGCTCTTTACAGTAGAGAAAATCGTATTAGCATTAGTGTTCACTTAGGTATTATGCTTCATCTGGGGAAGGACATGCTTCCTTGAGCATAGCCCATTAAATTGTCCCCTTCGCTTGTTATAATCAGTCAGTCTCATGAGGATGTAATCCTCTGTATTCCTGTGTTGTTGCTTGTTAGCTTCCTGCCATGAGCTAATACCCCTGTTCAAACACTGCTTATACTCTTGTGCCATCAAGCCCTCGACATCTTTAGACCAGAAATAACAATTAGGACAGATTCTTAGCAGAATTTGCATTCCTCTGTGTGAAATCCAGACAATCCTAAAACATTACGCCTCTAAACTTGTTATTTCCTCAAACTAAAATAATCCTCCTTCTTGTTCTTTATGTGATTAATTTTCTTGCATCCTTCATTGTTTTGTTAATAAATTTGCTCTAAAAAAAACAACAAAAACTTTCTCCGAATCTCTCTCCCTTATATCCTTTTTATTACTTCCTATATCACAGTGACTACAGAACAAATATTGTGGCATGAGAATTATGTTGTATTGCTACAATAACCCAACTGTTTATGGTAGAAGACAGAGCAGAGCATGACTGATAACATTTTAATAAAACTGTAAAATGTATTGCTTCACTAATGTCTTTTCTTGTGACATTAACTTCATGCCACTTTATAACTGCCAGTATTCATGGCCTGGTTACCCATCATCCACTTAGTCCACATGGGGGCAGAATTGTGTGAACTAAACCCAACTCAAAGTCACTTCTTTCCTGCAGAATCCACACACAAACCCTGAACACTAAAACTGTGTCCCCATTTTACATGTGAGCAGTAGGTGCCTTTTTTCAGCCGTACATGTTAATAAAAGAAGCCCGGCTGCTCGTTTGTGTACGATACGCTTTTTGAAAAGTGACACTAAGTCACGCCAGTGGGACTTCGGCAGTGCCGTAGTGTTTCTGAATGTGTTTACTACCGGACTGCATTACTGGAGCAGGCGGAAAACCGCTGTAGGGCTGAGTGGCTTTATGAGGCACGAGCAGGCTGCGCTGAAATGTATGGCAGCGACCGTCGCCTGAGAGCGGCATTTAGTTCATAATCTGAGCTGCTACAGGATGTCATGGGAAGAAGACAGTGAATGGGGATTACTCATTCATTTAGTCATCTTTTCTCCAATTTTCCATTGCATTATTTCTGTCATTACACACCAGTCTCATGATCACAATGATGAAATCTCTATTTTGGCTGGCAAGTTTCTGCCTGATTACATTTAATGAGCAATAAATGATTTTTTTTCATTCAGAAGGATCACGTTAGGTCAGTCAGATGGAGATTTTTGTTTGATATAGACCATTAGGGGCAAGTCTTTTTAGTCGTACAGCAGCACAATAACTGGAAAAGTAATGGTTTCAAAGCAGGGAAAATATAGCTATTTTCCATTTTGATGACATTTACTTAAGTCTTGGGAGTTTTACTTTTAAGATCTGTCATAAATAAACACACACGATGTCTGCGTCCACCCAGAGTCTGTTGCTTTTATTTATCTTTTGCTTCTTTGCAGCTGCTGCCCACACTTGACATATATACCTGGACGGAGGAGCATGTGGTCAGTATCAGTGGATATTTCTTGTAACTGATGGATTGATTTTGATTTTAATGCAACATGACACCATCCCTGTTAAAACTAACATATCACTGTTTTATTCCTTCAGTATTTCTGGATGCAGCAAATGTTTGGTGCAGGTTTGTTCATTTACTTTCTGGGTAGTTCAGGTAATCTTAAATCACGCTCTTTGTTTGGGCACCGTGGTTGAACACTGCTTGTTTCCTTTTCTGTGTCAGGCGATGTTTCATGTGACATGCAGCGCTACGCTGACCTGTTTAAAGAGAATCACATCACCGGAAAAAGGTTGCTGTTGCTCACAGAAAACGACATGCGAGACATGGGGGTCAAGTCCAAGGGTCACGCCATGCACCTTAAGGCAAGACACAGTTACCCATTAACCACAGCTTATATTTTTTAACCCAGTTTTACAGGAGAACATCTGAGCTCACTGATATTTGAAATTAAAGAGAGTTTTCTTCTTGGCAGGGTGAAATCGAAAAGCTCACCCACGATTACCTCGGATTTGTCCACTTCCCACCGCTGTTGAAGGTTTGAAGTTACTTCCTTTTTTTTTTCCTTCAGAAGTGTTCTTCTCTGCACATATTTGGCCTTACACCCTCTTTCTTCCTAAGGATGAGCTGGAAGAGGAGTTAGAAGGGAGCAAAACTGTAAATCTGGAGTTGGTGTTTGGGTACCACTGGAAGCCAGGAACGGGAAAGTCTGTAAGTTTGTAAAGAAACACACTCAAACAGACATATTCTGCAGCTGTGAGCATCTGATGTGGCTCCTCGTGGGCTCTGTGAAGCCAAGAATTAATGAATATCACAAAGAAACGCTGTGTCTACTTTAAACATTTTGGCGATAATTGATAGTTTCTAAGGAGTTTCACAGAATCACATTTTTTCCATGAGTGAATCGGCCCCGCTGCAACTGAAGCTGTTTGTTCTGAGGATGCATGATGGCGGCTGTTATGCTGACCATTGAAGACATCACTAGACATGTATTAAACCAGACAAATAAACATTTCATTCTCAGCCATGTACCACATCCACCTCGACTTGCTCACAGCCCTTTGTTAGGGTCTCAAACTGTGGAGAAAGGGTGGCTCTTCACTTGCTGTTTGAATTTAATCAAAAATAGCCCATTTAGCCAGAAGTCATTTTCTTTTAAAAGGCAAACGTTATTTAATCTTTCAGCTGTTCATTGTCCCATCATAAATAGTCCTCTTTCAGTGTGTTCGGCAGGGCTGAAACGAGCCTGCTAATTGCCTCCCATTTCTTCTGACATGTGGTGGTTTAGTGGGTAGAAAACACAGCAGGGAGAAGGAAACAGGAGGCTGAGAAAATGAGAGCTAATTATTTTCCCCTGCCTGGTGTCAGGTTCCGTGTCAGCCTTGTTTTTACAAACTGGAAGGTTTTTTGCACTAAATAAAACAAACCCGCACTGCATTTTTTTCTTCGCCCCTCTTTGCTGGCGATGTCATGGAAGCAGCTGCACTTCTCAAAGACAAAATGAGGGCCTGCGATTGTGCGGCCACCATCTGACAGCCACTGAGGGTCCCCTACTAATGAGGATATCACCGTGCAGCCAAGTGAAAGGTGCTGAATTATGTATGAGTTGTCATTAGACGCACTCGGGTCCTAGGCATCATTACCAGACATTGTTTCTGCTGGAGTGATTAGACTAGCATAGACCTGGGAGCCCCGGTGCGACCGTCCAGGGCCGACACCAGGCCAGCGCAGGGCCACTGGTGTGTTTCTGAGCCAGAGGCTTGCTGCAGCTTCCCCTTTGAGTCGCTTCCATCCCCCAGGGACGATGAAGGAGAGGGCGAAGGCTTCTCAGACGAGTGTGTTAGTGCCACTCCTCTGATGTCTTTCTCTGTGATCACTACACAATGGATTGGCCTGTGCCATGAACCCTGTGTGGTTAAGCAGTGACCTGTGGCTTCGCGGCCAGCTTTTAGGGATTGGCAGAATCATTACTGCGTCGTCAGCATTCAGTATGCAGAAGAAGTGGGCTGGGGAATTGCTCAGATTTGTTCCTCCCAGTTTGATGTGCACCGTCTGCAGCAGTTCATGAGAAAAAGAAGGTTTTTTACCTCCATCTCCTAAAACCAACTAGTTTGCTGTGCCAAGAAATTAATCCTGGATTCTACTAAAAATACATTCGGTATTTAGAATTTAAACGTTTACATACATACATTTACTACTGTTTTTCTTTGTCATGGTAATTTTATAAAATGTGTCGTTTATCAGTGCAGTGTTGAGGCATTAATACAACAAGATGGAGAACCTGTTTCCATCAGGATCAGTTTCCTAAATAGACATTGTATATAAATAGCATTTATATAATCTTTTCTTTTGCAATTTATCTATAAAAGTTTGAGGTTATACTTTCTGTTCTCGCCCACAATATGAAGCTTCGTGGCCTCAATAACTTGCCACTGCCATTAAACTACCTGTAGGTTGTGCTGTTGGTTTATATACAAGATTAAGCAAATTCTCCTCACAAAATAGTGCAATTATAAAACTTTTCCATACATCCATGTTGTTTGTGAGTGCACCAGACCAGATCTACATTATCTCACCATGAACTCTTTTCTCTCAAGGACTGCAAATGGAAAATGTACATGGAGCTTGATGGAGATGATGTTGCCATTGCTTATATCAAAGATGTCATCTTTAGTGCCAACCGGCAAGATGTGGACATCCTGCGCATGACTAAGGTGTCGTAAGAAACACAATTTATTGATCACGTTTTAATCAGTGTTTACTGCAGTCTGACCTGACTGTTTGTATTTTAGCCACGATGATGTTACATTGTGGTTTGCTATGGCCTAATTTTTAATGAACTAATGTTGTTTCAATGCAGCCACCTTTTGTGATGGACAAATGGATTGTTGGACTACAACAGAACCAGAAAGTCGACTACACAGTCAATTATGAGGTGAGTCATTTCAGCAGTCGTATTGTTCACATCACAAAACAATACAGATATCGTCCATTTGAAAATTCATCAGAGGAAATCACAGAACAATATGTGACAACTTTACACTAAACATCACTTCACCCTCCTTTGCTTTTATCTTGACACTTCAGAATGATGTCAAGTCACCAAAGTGTACCAAACACAGCTGCCCGGTGACGTGGAGTCTCGGCGGTGGACAAGACGAGATCAAGACTGTGGAGCTGGTCATTGGAACAGCACCAACTGACACAGACTGGAACCCCAGGAGGAACAGATCAAACTCTGGTAATTGTTACATTTATAGTTGTGTTGTGTTTGTTGGACTAATAGAAATTGTTTGTGAGGAATTCTGTGGATGGCATTGAAATGAACATCTTCTGTTTTAGATATCGATCCAAGATGGATGTACAACGTGCGGCAGAGGCATATGACCCAGAAATCGCTGCCGCCGCCTGCTCCTCTGTCTCGCTCTGAAGCCCGCACTCTTCCTCAGTTCCTGTCTGTGCATGAAAGCCAAGTGTCTTCTTATGCTGCAGCTGTGCGTCGCTCTCCAAGCCGCATCCACGCATCTCCCTGGAATGACTCGCGCAGCTCCTCGCCAACCGCCAGCCTGCCGGCCAAACTTGCCACGCTCCATCTGGGGTCAAAGGGCAGCAGTCCCTCCAGCACCACATCAGAGAGCACCTCAGAGAGGGATCGGCTGCTCAGCGCCGGAGCTTTGTACGACTACCGCAGAAACGCTTACTTTGGCAACACATTAACTGTAGAAGGTGGGCAGGGGAGATGGACCAATAGTAGAGGTAACCATATTCATAATAAAACCAGCAAAACCTCACGGCAGCCAGGGAGGCCACGGTCCAACAGTTACAGTGTCGCATCACAGAACCGCCCACCAATGATACCGGGGATATTGTCTGTGACAGGAAACCTTAGTGAGGAAAAAGAGGCGGCGAAAGCCAGCGAAGGAGGGTGGATCAAAGTGGAGCGTCAGAAAAGATTACCGCGTCAGGACCATAAACAAGTCAGAGGTCGACCGAGGAGAGGGGGCAGGGGTGGGCGTGGTGCTGGTGGAAGAACTTAACGGGGGCCACACATGAACTGACAGCTTCTTGTACGATGAACATGTCATGCACTGAGAAGGGTTTACTCTGAGTTATGTCTGCTTGCACGCTGAAAAATGAACTGCATACTATAAGAGAATCACAATCTTGTCTGATGTAAATATGTATGAGGCAATAAAGTGCCACTTCCTTTTTTAAAAAACTGGCTCTTTGGTAAATATAAACGAGCCTATATGCTCAGGATGTATTTATTATTATTATAAAAATTGACAATTCGTTTTTTTCCTCTTTTTTTTATCACCTGTTAAACGCAAAAGTGGCTTCTACTGCTATGGTTACAATAAAATTATGATGTTATTTATAAACATATTTTTTTACACAAAACAAACCAAAGATTACTTAAAAAAGATTCAATTCTTCCCATCCATATTTTCTAAGTTTCCTCTCAAGTGTGTCTGTTTCTGTGGGCAACAGATACATTACTGATTCAGAAGAGTGGTGCGCCTCACCTCAGTTTGATATGTTCTCCTTGGTGCTTAAATCGTGTTCACATCCTGCTGTTCACAGAATGATGTCGCCCTGTTTTTCTCTCATCTCAATTGTGCTGCAGTTTGTAGTCTTATCTTCCCTCGATATTCCCTTTTTGTTCAGCTTTATTAAATTGAAACTTTCCTACTTCCCTGCCTTGGTGTCTCCTTTGTCAATAAATCTCTATCTTTTAATTTCCTTACAATCTAACCCACATAAAGTGTGACTTCAATAGTCACATAAACACAGTTTCATATATTTTACGTGTTGCTTATGTTTACGCTGTTGTAAGGTGAAATTTCAAAAGCTGAATTAAAGGTGAAGTCATAATCATAAAATTGGATTTTGTTAGACAGTTGGACAGGAATCAACAGATTACCCGCCTTGTATGCAAATTAACTAGTAAAAAATTCGCGCCAGGGTGAAGTACATGGAAGATACATAGCGTGAACGCCTCATTAATTTATTAGTGAGTAACATTTGTTTGTTCTGATAAAAGCTGAACCTTATAAAAAAATCTTAACAGGGAGTTTTGGTTGTTGTTGACCTCTTTTGTATCACACGAAGCCTCTTTAGTTGTTGAATTACCTGGTTTAGTTTTATGCCGCTGCCAGGACCTGGCGGTGGCGCGGGAAATGAACGGAGTGTGAAGCTGCTGCTGCAGGTCCTGCTTTGTTCACTGCAGAGCTGCTGCTGCACGCCGTGACTGTGTGGGACGACTTTTAAAGGGGGAAAAAAATGCCTTTCACTCGCTCAAAGGTAAGAAAAGATAAATTTGCATGCAGTATTGTGCATCTTGCAACTCCTTTAAAGTTAAGCAGACTATTTGAGTGTTTGTTAGATTACAACTTAAATCCAAAGTTTCATCTATAGGTTAGCTAACGTCTAAGTTTACTGGCTGGAAATATTTAAAACTCGACGTGAGAAACCATCAGTTTGTGTCCCACTGTAATAAATAACCATTTAATTTAACAAGTTTTACAATTAAACTGCTCATTTTTGGTAACTAACAAATGTTATAAAGGTGAAGTTAGCTTAAGTTGCATTTTTACCACCACAACCCACTTACCTACATCTGCTAGCTTTGTGCTCAGGGGTGTGTCCGCCCTGAAACTTCAGCTCAGACATTAATCCATAAAACCCTTAACTGGAAATTAAAAATTAACTTTAATTAGTAAACACTATTACAAATTTTACTTTGTTTTTTTGCAGCCCAGACATAATCCATTTGAGACCCTGCAATAAAGACCATTTTTAGACAACACTCTATTGTTTGAGATATGATTAGGAAACCATTTACAACCTGGCCTTCACCTTCATCAAAGAGTTCTTGCCGACTGTCTAAAGTGCACATTAGCAGCTGGTTGTCTTTGTTTTAACATACCTGTTGTTCTGTACAGAAGCTGGCGGCCCAGCCTCCGTCCACCAGGATGAGTCTGAGGAGCTTCCGCAGCGTCCCGCTGGTTCCCATGGAGACGTCGTCCTCTTCTTCTGACGACAGCTGCGACAGCTTTGGCTCAGACGGAGGCTTTGCAAATACGGTAACATCAAAATTCCGAGTTTGACCACAAATGTAATCCTATCAGACGGTTGTGACCGAGGAGGCACCATCTGCAACTAATGTTTGTCTGTTCAGAGGAGCAGCTTAAGACAGACGAGGAGGACGGCAGAGAAAGCGAAGATGTTTGAGGCTACATCAGAGGAGGATACATGCAGCGGGTTTGAGGAGAATGTGATCAGCCGTCAGATCAAAGCCATGGTAAGTTTTTGGGCAAAATGCAATTACAGCGCATCTCTGAACCTTATCAGACAACACGGCGGTCCCCTCTAACTGTAAACTGTTTCTTGTTTCAGAAAGTAGTCGCTGAACCTCCAAGACAAGGCCGCCGGTCGAACGTTCTGAAGGTTGCCATGACGTTTCCTTCCAAAAAGAAGGACAGGAAGAGGCCTGCATCTGCACCACTGCCTCAACCTAAAGCCCAGGACTGTGAGGAGGAGGAGGAAGTGGATAACTTCATGAACAAGAGAGCCCTGAACATTAAGGAGAACAAAGCAATGGTACCAGTATTAAATACGTCACACTACAAACTGAGCATCGTCTGCACTTGCTTGTTGTGCCATATCTACTCATTCACTGATACCTGAATTATTTTTAGCTTGCAAAGCTCATGGCAGAGCTGGACAAAGTGCCTGGACTCTTCCCAGGAAGACGGATGGCAAAGTCAGCATCAGTCACGGTACTGTATCCTCAACAAAGAAAAATAACTGAATGTGTTGTTTCACATTTACTCCACCACGTGGCTGTTTCATGTTGTATTCATTTTCACTATTTATTTATTTTAGCCCCAAAAGGCACCTCGGCGCTCTATGGGAACCCCCATGCGCTGTAGGAGATCCTCAAGACATTCGTCTCGACCCCACACAAGGTCCCGCTCGCTGGTGGACGGACCCCCGAGCCCAGTCTCAGAGGAAGAGCCCGAGGACAAGTTCAGTCTGGTTCGCAAAAGCCGCTACTTTGAGGAATGCGATGACCCTGTAAGTCAGTGTTTTACAGTATCAGAACGTTTTCCTCATACGCTGATCATGTGGGCATTATTCAGATTCTACTGAACTACTTTTATTTCAGCAGCCACGTCGTCGCTCCTTCAACGGCACCAAGGCCATCCCTCATGTGGTGCGTCCTGTGGAGGACATCACAGAAGTGGAGCTGCAGAGAATCTGCACCAACGTGCGGGAGAAAGTCTACAACAGCTCCACTGTAGGTCTCAGTCAGTGTCATTCTGAAAACGGCTGCATTGGTCCATAAGGCGCAGTGACTAAAGGGTGACAATTTTTATTTTGTTGCACATTTTCAGGGATCCACTTGCCACCAGTGCCGCCAAAAGACGACTGATACCAAAACTAACTGCCGTAACCCGGAGTGTCTCGGCGTGAGGGGTCAGTTCTGCGGTCCCTGCCTCCGTAACCGCTACGGAGAGGAGGTCCGTGACGCTCTGCTGGATCCGGTGAGTGTCTAAACGTACGAGACTGTTTGCATTTGATGATGTCTGGAAGCGAACTCATTTCATTGTCATTGTCCTTTGCAGGAGTGGCAGTGTCCGCCATGCAGAGGGATCTGCAACTGCAGCTTCTGTCGGGCCAGAGAGGGTCGCTGCGCTACAGGAGTGCTGGTTTATCTCGCTAAGTACCACGGCTATGACAACGTGCACTCCTACCTGAAAAGGTGACTGCTGCCTTCTGTGGAGTTAATTTTTTTCCAAATTTAATTCAGTGTGTTGAGCTTTAACACAAATGTTGCTTTCTTCTCTGCAGCTTGAGGAAGGAGCTGGAGGAGAGCAGCGAGTGAAAGGTGGAGGAGAAGCTGCAGATCCTGGACCTGACTGACCACTTTTATCTTTGAAGCATCGCAGCACGATGCTTATTGTTCCTGTTTGTGAAATTTTAAAGTTTTTGAGCGTTGACTGACATCTGGAGGAGGCACAGTTCTCTCTGGCTTAAAGCTTGTGTTTGTTTTTTTGTTGTTGCCACGTTTTGTTTTCTCGTCTGCTTCAGGAGTTGAGACCTTACTTTAACACTGGTTGGTTGAAAACAAAAAGAATATCTCAACTGCGATCTTAACGTTAAGATGATGGCCTCATCCTAACATGTACATAAATCTTAAGCTTGTAAAAACAAAAATCGACTTTATAGCTGCTTTATGACGTTGACTTTAGACCTGTTTAGATGATCTGCTGTATTTTACATTGTTTTAAATGTACTCCTTTCTCTGAATTGGCCTCCAAGGGATCCTTTTTTTTTTTCTTTTTCTAGTTGCAAATTTTTATGCTTGTGTTTTTACAAGTTGTTTATCCTTTTGGTATAAAAAAAAAAGAAGCTTTACTCGGGATGTCCTGTAGAAATGCCCCAGTGATCTGCCTGCTATGAGGGGGGGTGCAGGTGGAAAGGGCAAAGACTGAGGTCCACTGCTTCCCCCTTTGAAGCCGAGAGGAACCGTGTGATATACTACAGCGCCTGGTTAAATATCCTTCATTAGATAACTGTCACTAATGGTGTGGAAACAATTAGCACACTCTAATGGGAATCTCATACCTGTAAATCATTTTATCCTGTTAAAGCACATTCTCGCTCTGCTCCAGTCTCTTTGGCTCATTTTCTGCCTTACACTGTTAAGTAGGAATGGTTGAAGGTGCCACTGAAGTGGCAATAGAGTTATGGCCTGCATTTTCTGTTCAGAAGTGTCACACTCCGCACGAAATGACATGGAATTAACCTTTGTGCCGTTCATCTCTGAAATGTACTTCATTTGACCTGCGGTAGGAAATACACTGATTATATGATACAGTTTGAAAATAATCAACGGTTGAGCTTTCTTCTTTACTGTAATGGCAGGTGGAGGTTATCTTACTGGCTGCTTGTGCTTATCAGGCTCTGCAACCCCAACAGTAACGCCGAGCTGCTGAAGGGAAGCTCTGTTCGCGGTGATGCTTGCTTTGCGTTAACTGTACATTTTCATTAAAGCGTTAATCACTACCGAATCATGTCAACAGTGTGTGTGTTTTTTTTAACTTGACCATCACTCAATCTAAAAGACTGGCAGCTGTAATTACTGTTATCGAAACCTGAATGGTTGTGGTGACTGAAGATGTTAAGAACTGTGAAGGCAGGAGGTTTATCTCCTTTATTTTTTTTTTATCACGGTTAGCTTTATGTACAGACGGGGTTTATGGTAAGTTTTGCTTTCCTTCACAGAGTAAACCTAACAAAGCTGACATTATCCTACGGGGCTGTCACAACCGCCACACGGTGAGGAGGTCTGGGTTGTCACTCAGCTGCCTGCGCAAGCTTGAATGGGTCAGATAATCACCATTTACAACAGGCTGCATTAAGGGCACTACACAAATCAAAATACAAATAAAAAGGGATTAATTGAGCTTTTCGAGTGTACGGAAAGCATTTAGTGTACACGTTGTCCTTTTGTACTTCTAATATTGAGCCGGCGTATTCAAAATCAGGGGTGCAACTAACATTTTTGTTCATTACTCAAATTTGTGAATAGCTTTTACAATATTGTAATACTGAAAAAAGGCCATAACAAAATTATATCTGATCAAGAGTCCAGTATTCACCTGATCTGAGAAGTTGGAAACAGGTGAGTAATTGTCATTTTGTGCAATAAAAGATCTAAATAAATACCAAAATTATCCATCCATCCATTATCTACACACCACTTAATCCTCACTAGGATCGCAGGAGGGCTGGAGCCTATCCCAGCTGACTTAGAGTGAAGGCTACCAAAATTAAAATCAAGGATATGTATTAAATTTCTACACAAATCCTACAACTATCCCTGCAGCACAGTATTTTAGTGGTTGGCCGATTCCAAGCCGGGTTATTGTGAAGTTATCTTTAGGTGAAGGAGAAACATCGACAAAGACCAACGTCACTTCCTGTAGATTAAACTCCTAAAGATATATATTTACACACTGCAACTCCTGCACATCGCACGAGGCTGTTCAGGTTCACAATCACTTTACTCCTCATTATTTATGACTTTTTTTTGGATTTTTTAAGGCATTTTTAAAATTTGTCCCCTGCCTTCACCCTGAGTCAGCTGGGATAGGCTCCAGCCCCACCGCGACCCTAGTGAGGATTAAGCGGTGTGTAGATAATGGATGGATGGATGTTTTTAAATTTTTTATTTTTTTTTTAATCGTGACTTGTTATTTTATGAACACTGTATGAACATGCAACAAAAAAGGTGACAAGGGTTTCAAGCCTCTCAGCACCAACAAGTGAGTTACTTCTTACCTTCATTGTTCCTGTCCTGGTCCATCTGTCCAATCTCTTATTGTAGTCGTCACTGCTCTGCATCCTGCAATGTTCTGAGTAGAAGCACATACAAGAGAAGAGGATTAATACAACACACAATGCATGCAGGACTCTGAAAACTGGATGTGATGAACCTTCACAACATTAAAACATGCATGATTAATAATTATTCCATCCTGTGCAACCTGGACATGCACAGAGGCAGATTCACAGCCTGTGTGGCATTATCTTCCAGCTGACTGATCCACTGGGATTCTTAAATGTAGAAAGAAAACACCTGAGCTTTTAGGTAGAAATTCATTTCAAAATTAAGTTCAAATTTGTACACATATAATTTTCCTGACATTTTAAAGCTGCTAATATCTGTAACAGACACCAGGAAGTTCATCAGTGTGCACCTGTTTTCATCTTTAAAAAGCCACTACAGATGATCCTCAAACACTGTGTGCAGTAGATGGTAGAAATAACATCATATGAAACTTCATGTAGTTCCATTTATGATGCTGCATAGCAACAGAAAGCTTAGTAACTGTTCTGAGTGGATTAATAGAAAACTCATAGTGAATGCACACAAAATGCACATTACCTGTCATGCTACCCCGACGTCATATCACAAGCAGAAGGACTTTTTAGGTAAATTCAACATGTCAGGCTTGCTTGCCCCAGTTTGAACCTCTCATGAATTAGCATTACACTAAACACACAAGCATTCTCCTTTTTAAGCAACATTGTCAGACGGGGGGGAATTCAAAGCTTTATTCTCTCTCGTCTCCTTTTGGGAATTAGGTGGCACTATTGACATCACTCTGATGTCTGTAGCTATAATAAATACGTAGCTGGAGCCAGCAGCCTGTTAGCCAGCGCTGTCATTAGGCCTGGACATCCGAGGCTGTCACCCTGAATTATCTATGAATAGCCCCACATGTCAATTTTATTTATTTATTAAAAATAAAAATAAATTGCAGGTGAGGTTAGAGGAGGTGGAGGGAGAGTTATCTCCTGTAGCGAGCCACTGCTGCCTCATCGACAAGCTCAGGATCGGCCTCCTGCTCTCAAGCTGCACAAACATCTCTCACAGCAAACAAGAGGAAGCGTCAAAGCCTCATCATTTATATATATAAAGTGTTATATATGTTTAACAGGTTTTTGTCTGCATGCAAGACAAAGTGTAAGCATCAGGCTTTTTCTTCATTTTAGCACCAACACTGGTTCATAATCCTCAGAGAGGGTAAAGGACAGCAGTTTTCATGTAAGTTGAGTTTTGCCTCATTGCTCTACAATTTCCCATCTATTACAAAAATAGTCTGTAACAGGTCCGATTAGTGAGATTGAACAATAATAAACGGAATCCAGGTTTTGAGAAAACATCACCAGGTGCTGTAGTTTAGTTTGTTGCTTCCGGCTGTTTGTAGGAGTCTTTCCTCTGAGTTTATCAAACACCTGCAGCATCAGACAGCAGCAGGGTTCATATGAGGATCTGTAGGTTTCTGTAGTTAGATAAGTTACCATGAGGCGAAACCTGAACAGAATTTTCAGTGTTGAACCTGGACCTCTTCTCCTGGACTATTTAAAGGGTTGGTTGCTCAAATGATTAGAAAATAACCAAATATTAACAATTAAAATAACCTATAAGATGTATCAACGTCACTCCAGCTGGTAACTAAAACTGTCCGCCCTGGTCTAGCCTAAGGCACACCATTGAACATGAATAAATAAATCTGAATAATTCCAAATGGGAAGACTTTACTCAGCGTAGAGCTTAGCTTCTTAAATTTTGTATTTGTTTTTGCTTTGAAAAAAATTTAAATTGTGCAATTATCAGGTTAAAATCGAATCCTTTCTGGACTGGGCTACGCCACAGATGTTTAGAGATCCTAACAATTCCACTGCTGTTAGCTTAGCTCAGCATCCATTCATCCGTCCATCCATCCATTATCTATACACCGCTTAATCCTCACTAGGGTCGTGGGGGGCTGGAGTCTATCCCAGCTGACTCAGGGTGAAGGCAGGGGACACCCTGGACAGGTCACCAGGGTGATGCATCTGTCACACCTGTCAAAATTAAAAAGAATTATCTTAATAAGTTAGATTGGTAATGAACGTGGCAGCTTGAGGAGTGCAGTATGATGCAAACAGAGAGCAAAACCTGAACCAAACCTGCTGGTGGAAGTCTGGAGTGAAAAGGGAAGAGAGGTTAGAGATGAGGGGACGCACTAATAAACAGGGTGTGGTCCTGATAACTCAGACGTACACTGTTTTTTACTCAGTACACAACCATTTCTAGACAAACTGTCTTAAACAGTGAGATTTGGAGGTGCTGGAGGCAGATTCTGTGCATTTGGAGAGAGCCAGTTTAGCTGTTTTCCTCCCAGTTCCCAGTCTTAATGCAAAGCAAACCAGCTACATTATTTATACACTATAAAACTACTGCTTTGAGGTTTCAATTTGCCCCTTGATTAAAATAAAGGGACTGAACCACTTAATGGTATTTATGTAGTCACATTCAGTCACTTTATAAATTTTCTGTCGTTCCTAATTAAATCTGCGAGTCTCGTGTTCATTAATAAATAATTAATGAAACCATCACCATATACTAATATTTTTAAGGCCATATCAGTATGTACACATCACTGTCAATACAACATCTCTTCTATTTTCCTCCCTTTTTCCCTCCAAAAGGAACATTTCAAAAACTATTATTAGTATAATAAAGATGCACTTGAAAATACTAGTCCTGTATTAAATACCAATGATCATCCACTTTGGGGTGATGAATATTTAGGGAAGTAATTGTTTACAACGCTCAAGCATTGAGCTGATCTGGTAATCAGGCTATGAAATACAATATTTATTCATTAGAGCAGATTTAATGAGGCCTTGCGGCGCTAATTATGAAAACCAGTGTAGCAGTAAATGAGTAGCGCACGGTGGCGGGCTGCGGGGTACCTGTAAGGAGGGACTGGGGGTTGAAGTGCCCTGAGTACCATGGCACAGTGAGCAGCAACACACAGCAGCCACTGTGGCCGTCCAGCCCACAGCTATACATCACCGGACCTGCAGACAGGTCACAGATGGGCTCCACGTCCCAGCCTCCCCCCCCCTAGCTCTCCCACCTTCAGGAATTAACGCCGGATTTCCCCAAAGCGTCTTAATGTCCAGATCGTCTGCTTTATTGCACGTCAACACACAGCACAGTGGAAAAAAAATCTCAGTACAGTGGAGCTTCAGAGGGATGGCAAGCGAGGCTTTTAAATATTCTCTCATTGATGGAGTGCCAGCTAAGAGAGCTGAAACAGGTTGAGCGCTTATTCTGCAGTTTCAATTTGTATGCAGGTCTGGAGATATGTGGTAGGATTTCACAGCATAATATGGGTTTTGATTGACTGATATTTTCATTATGGCTGCAGGGTAGCGTGAAGACTGTTAATTTGCTTGAGAGTCCTGCAGGTCTACGGTGATTGTAGTAGAGCCAGAAGAAAAGCGGAATAAATGAAACTCACAGGGCACAATCACAATCTGTGGGTCAAAATCAACTGATTAATTATAATTTAGAATCAATCTGTCAGGCCTCTGTAATAAACACCCTTTCAGGCTTGCTGCTTAATAACCAGCTTTACATGGTACAAATGTAACATGGTACACGGTGGTGCAACACGTAAAGTCATCACTGTGAATACGTGCGCTGTAATTGGGTAAATACTCGCACATT